TAAGAACTGGAGATATAGTACAGAGGGGAAGATGCTTGCTTGGCAAATAGCTGACTGGTTTTTGATCCCTGGCATTACATACATTATGGTCCCATAAGCATGCCAGGAATGATCCCTGAGCAGAGCTAGGAGTATATACCAAGCACAGCTGGGTGTGCCTCCCTACAATGAATACAACCCCCTTCCCCAAAATATTTTTAGGTACAAGACCCTGATAGAAAACATGGTTTACAGATATTTTCTAGTCTTGTGGAATTTCTTTTCTACTATTTCCTTCCTTCCTTCCTTCCTTCCTTCCTTCCTTCCTTCCTTCCTTCCTTTTTCCTTCCTTCCTTCCTTCCTTCCTTCCTTCCTTCCTTCCTTCCTTCCTTCCTTCCTCCCTCTCTCCCTCCCTCCCTCCCTCCCTCTCTCCTTCTCTTCCTCCCTCCCTTCCTTCCTTCTTTCCTTCTTTCATTGTTTGATGTTATTTCAAATACAATTTTTACAGTTGTGATCTTAACTGTATTAAGTCATTAGTGGTGTTGATGCCCCATCTGAGAACTTATTGGCTATTCTAAGAACACTAGAATTTTCTCCTAATTACCATAATAAGACTTGCACAGTTGGATTGCTTATACTTAGATCTTGAACGGCATTCATTTTTTTAAAATGTGGCACAGGTAGGATTCCAAATGTATTCTTTTGCATTTTTTGCATAACTGGTCTTAGGACCACTTATGAAAAGAATATACTTCATCACTGAATTCACATGGCCACATTGTTAAAAATCTATTAATCTATCAATACATAAATGGGGTTAATTTCTGGACTCACGATTATATTCCATTCCTCTCTACCTCTAAAACATTAAACTTATGACACATTTTATAGCTTCATAGAATGATTTGAATCAGAAATTTGGGCTACTTCTCCTTACAGTTCTTTCACAAAACATTTGGATTACTGTGGATAACTTTGTCTCTCCTTTTATTTTATTTTATTTTGCTTTTTGGGTCACACCTGGCGATGCACAGGGGTTACTCCTTGCTCTGCACTCAGAAACTACCCCTGGCGGTGCTCAGGGGACCATATGGGATGCTGGGAATCGAACTCGGGTCAGCCGCCACGTGCAAGGCAAATGCCCTACCCGCTGTGCTATTGCTCCAGCCCCTTGTCTCTCCTTTTAAAGTTTATGATAATTTTTTCAGTTTACATAAACACACACCAGTTTTGCTTGGATATACACTTTTAGAAATTAGTTATCGTGGCATGTAAGTACAACATGCTAACTGATTGTGCCACTGGAGCGCCTAATTCTTCTGCTTGAGGAGGTAGTCCAAATGTTAGAGTACATGTCAGCATGCATGAGGCCTTAAGTTCCAAACCCGGTATCACATGGCACCCCAAGAACTTAAAGTGATGGTACAGCCCCCAGTGTACCAGTGGACCATGCACAGTACTATAGGGCCCGAGAACAGCTGGGGGTAGCCCCTCCCCCAATCAAGTCTCTCTGAGCACAGGTGTGAGCAGCCGCCCACAAAGTTCCTCTGAGCACAGATGTTGGTGGGCTCCATAAAAACATTGCAGTCATTAATCCTAAAAGATATACTTCCCACTAAATAGTAAATCTCTTCTTCAAATGTTCTGCAGATTTACACTGAATGAGCTATTGTATAATAGTTTAATAGTTGTAAAAAAAATTAGATTTGAGACAGATGTCTGTTGTCATGCTTTCTAAGGAATAGTACAGAAAAAAAAGTTAGAATTAACACTTTAGAAGAAATAAGCAGAACAACCATGCTCCAGAAAAGAGTAAGAAAAGAAAGCAGTATGGTCTAGCTAGTACATGAATTTGTAGAAAGACTGTTTTCAGGAAACCAAAATTATGCATTTTATTTGGTGGTACAAAATGAATTCAAAAAATGTGCATGGGGAGATTGCATTTCATCATCTGCTGTGTCTTTATGTTGACATTCTGGAGATTATTTTAAATCCTCATTCAGAAAATTTAAACAGGCTCTTACGAATCCAAAATATGAATAATGCATAAATGACTCAGTAAATTGACATCTGAGATAGGGTTGATAGGAAAATCATTCATTGGAAAGCTGAATGTATATTTGCAAAGCGTTGTTAAATTATATTTAACAAATAAAATACCTGTGTCACTTTATATCTCAAGGGATGGATAGTTTTTTTCTGCACACCTTTGTTAGATTGGCAGATGCCTGGACATCACAGCAGATTGGAATGATTAGAAGCAAAAAGAACCCAGTTCCCATCTCCTGACCATTAATTATACAGACTAGGAAGCTGAATCTCAGAAATATTTAAAAAACCCAGGTTCAATGTCCTATCTAGTGCTCCATTAGAATAAAAAAAATTTGCCTTTTACACTAAGAATTCAATGACATATCAAACTAAAGTTAGTAGTATAAAGCATATTTACAATTGAAATATTTCTGGGAGCACAGACATATGGTTGAAACATTCTTGAGAGCATAGAGAAATAATTCCCATCAATATGTCACTGAGAAGTGCTACTGGAGTTGAGACTTGCAAGGAAACTTCTGGGCAAGATAAATGTGGGAACAGTACTCAGAAGAAAATACTGAATATGCCAGCAAAGAAATGTAAGGGAATAATGATATTTTCAACAACCTGTAAGTACCCATTATAGTTGTATGTTATACTTGTTCATACAAAACTTGAAGGCATAATGAGATTTTTTGTTGTAGCTGGATGGGAAGGTAAAATAGTTTTGCTTTGGAGATGAGACAGAGAAAGAGAGAGCCAGACACACCAAAACACACACACACACACACACACACACACAGAGAGAGAGAGAGAGAGAGAGAGAGAGAGAGAGAGAGACAGAAACAGAAACAGATAAGAGTTCCACCCACCCAGTAAAGAACAGAAACTATGCTCCATCATCTGGGACATGGGCTACTTCAGAACAGAGTGTGGCATAATGAGATTATCATGATTTGGAATGCCAGGGTAAGTTTCTGGTGTTCCATTGTAATATTTCCATTCAAAGGACATAATCGGGTTTGTCTGAAGGTGCCTTTTGGAGTAGTGTGGAGGACGATCAGAGGACTCTGATTAGAGGCAGGAAGGATCAAAGAAGGAGTATTGCAGCTGAATGGGTGTGGGATGTGAGGATCTAAATTAGAGCATCAGTCATGCAAGCGGAGAGGCAGACATCAATACAAAGAAGGAGAAATGGCACAGTCATTGGGACTTGCTGATGGATATATATGAAATCTGAAGAGAAAGCAGGATATACAGCAAATGATCTACTGTATTTTCCTTCATCTTCCTATGGATGTAAAGGATAATGCCATTTATAATTTTAAATGCATTTATAGTATGTAATTAAATAGATGAAAAATATCACTCTTTTTGAAAAGTATATTACCGCAAATTAAGCACGTTATATGAAGCATATTATTTTATGCGAAGTGATATTAAGTAAGATTTGTAGTTTCTGCCATTCCTTCAACCCAATTACAAGCATAAGTAAATGCACCTGGAGTGAGGGATGCAAATGAGGATAATTAACTCAAGCCAGGATGTTTTGACAGCATAGCTTCTCATTACCTTGCTAGCTTGTATCTTTTCAAAGTGCACATAAAGATTATCAGATGAGGAATGGAATGTGTTGGAGAAATAAAAAATGTCAATGTGAAAGCTTGCCTCATACCAATTAAGACTCGCTGTTTAAGGCAAAACAGTCCATTTCTCAGGGACAATATTATACATCACAGCTACAACATACATAACTATTTATGGTTATCATAGCCACTGATTCCTGAAATTCTAAGAGATTATGACCATACGTGCCATTTTTTAAAAATCTAAAATGCATAGGAAAATCAATGAGAGAATAAAAGGCAATTAGGACCCACTGACCAGCAAATCTTTGGGATGTCTAGTTTTCTAGGGTAAATTTGTTAGGCTTTCAATAGTTTTTTTTCTTTTTTTTTAAGGAGTTTGGGTCACACCTGGCAATACTCAGGGGTTACTCCTGGCTCTGTGCTCCAGAATCACTCCTGGCAAGCTCAGTGGATCATATAAGAATTAAACCTGGGTTGTCTCTGTGCACGGCAAATGCCCTGCCCACTCTACTTTTGCTCCAGCCCTTTGGCTTTCAATAGTTTTAAGTAAACAAAGAATTAATATTAAAAAACATAAAGGGAAAGGAGATAATCCAATCAGTGTTAAAGGTGCTAGGTTATACTGAGTTATACTGGACTTTCACTGTAAAATGTTGTGGTGACTTGTTTATAACGAGAACTGGGAATGTTCATGAGGGACACAACCCATATTTCAGAGGAACACAATTAGGCAGTTTCTAGTATCCACCGGGCTAGAGCAAAGCTCTAAAGGTAAATAAAAAAGATGAATGTGTGTGCAATGTCTTATTTTCCTGTGCTTGGGTATTAGATAGAAAAATGCCTTAAAGAAAGCAAAGTTTAGGGGTCTGTACCTAGACTCAGGGCCCAGACATCCCCGGCAAGCTGAGAGGCAGGAGAAAGGGCTGAAGAAGCCCAGCCTGAAGAAAACTGGGTCTGAAAATGAAAATCCACACCAAGAAGTGTACCATGTTAGAAAATATGTTTACTCCGTATGCCAAATTCTTCCATGCCCATCCCTCTTAGTGTAGACAATGAAGGTGGGGCTGGAAATTGTGATGCATTTGCCAATTACACAGTGTTCAAGTCAGACGCAACTTGATCAGAAATCAGTTTCAAAAGCAATGCGAAAAAGAGCGGCTCAAAAGCATAAGAAGTCTTAGGAGAATGAAAGGTTAGCTTTCCTGCTCACCTTTTGAATGGACACAGGCTGTTACAGAATGAATAGCAGGGGCATAGTAAAATGCCATCATTTTCCTTTTCTTGGAATTCAAGAGACAAATCTTGTGTGAGCGTGCATGTGTATGTGCATATGCACACACACATACACACACACACACACCACAAACACACACACACAAACAATTTCTCCCCCAAAATATCTGTGTTCTTTTATTTGGTGATTCAATACATTTTCAATTCAGATAGTCACCACAAAACCTACACACAATATTAAGCATTTTACAAGCAAAATAGTTTACTGATTTTTCTTTTCAATAGCCAAAGAGTAGAGTAAGTGAACTGGTTAAAGGATATACTTCTGTACATAAAAATATCCATGAATTTATACACATGTAGGGATCAGAGTTTAAAGAGAATAAAACCAGAACATCACAATAAATAGGATGTGTTCCTACAGGAGAGTGAGCAGGCTTTGTCAGAAAGCTGCAAAGTCTCTTTTATTTTTTTTTCAAGGTGCCTCATGTTCTTCTGAGCTTCACTTACATTTCTCAAAAGAAGAGTTACACGTTAGTAATGACTGTATAGGAATATCTACTCTCCTTGCCTGCCCTTTATTTGCATCTCCAATACTAGGAGTGGGAGTTCTGATTATTTTGTTTCAAAATGTCTTTGCAACTTTGCAAATTTTCTTGGTTTCCCTTTTACTACTTTCAAAGGCAGATTTCTCTAAACTCTAGCACCACATGAGGATGAAATGCATGTATTTTTGTCAGAGCAACAATTTTTTATATCATTTTTGTTCCTCCGGCAATAACAATTCTGTTTAAAGATTTTACCAAGCTAAAAATAATTGCTCTAGGTTTTCATAAAAAAGAATATTAAATACCTTTGGTAAAAATAGATATATTTAACAAGATTAGAAAAGCAAAACAGTTATAATGTCAAAAGGAGAATATAAAAATGTACACAATAAAACAAATAAACCAACTTATAAAGTGAAGATAAGGCCACTCTTCTGGTTCGTCTCTTCCAAACCATGAATGCAGTTCTCTTCTTCTAGATGGTAGAAATCTTAGTAAGAATTACGAAAAATCCAGTCCTTCCTTTCAGCATGACTTAAGTTTAATTCATGGCAACACAGTTCCTTTTTAAAAACCAAGTCTGTAGGACATAGAACACTCTGGTTTATATATGTGATTATAAGAAAACAAATTCCAGATTTCTCTGATTTTAGGCCCAGAACATGGAGCTTTAGAGTTAATAAGCAAGGCAACAGAATTAGGTGCTCATTTGCACAGTTTTTCCTGTACTGACATTAACCCAAGCCTTCTCAAGACAACTGAAATATAGAACACAGCTAGCTGAGTAAGTACACAGTAACTCGGGAACTAGCTAGTGATCTACAACATTTAAGTTTTTTTTCCACGACGGAAGACCTTCTCTCCTGTCATTGGACTTCCTCTCAAAAGAGCTGTTGCACAACTCCTAATTCCATTTGGTGTCTCTTCTTTTAGAACACACTGTAAATCCTGAAGATGAAAGGTCCCTGAAGCAAACTGAGATTATGGATGGAGATAATGTATGAGTTCTAGAAAGAATCAGCCAGTTGCGCTGCATGTCTTGGGCAGGTGGCTGCCGTGGCGATGCGGTTATCCACCGGTGTTTCCTCTGCACACACAGTCACACTCCTCATGGTGCTCCAGAGCCACATCAGTGAGAGATTTATGCAATCCTCTGACTCCAATCTTTGGTCTCAACTGAAGGACCTGAAAGGAAATAGTGTAATCCTCCTTTAAATATCAGTCAGTGCAACTGTTGATTTCACAAACAAGTAAAATGTCAGAAAAGAAATCTTGGCACCAGACAAAGACTTAACACATTTTCCTCCCCCCACCCCCCGCCCCCAGTGAAGACATTCTCAACACATTCCCTGCCCTTCTGAAGGTCAGAAACAGTCATCTAAAAATGTCAGAGAGAATTTCACCTTGATGTAAGTATGGTGGGACCACCATGGCACAATGAGTTTTCTATTTGTTGGTTTCTTTCATTCATTCATTTATGCATACATTGAACAAATATTTACACTTGGAGCAATGCATGAAAGTAGTGTAATATTCTGAAAAGAAACATGATCACTCTACAGCTGAGTTTGCTCAATTATGCCACTCATTAATTTTCTTGGCTACACTTCAAGTCCTCTATAAACTTGATGAGATGGATTAGATGTACTTCATAGACATCAGCCTCCGTCACGGCTAACTTTCTACAGCTGCAGCCTACTGTACAGTCTATGGAGATCTGGCAGTAAGAACAATAATGCTTCTATTTAATAGGGTTAATTGAAGTTTGGGTTTTTCAGATTTTAATACAAACATAGCAAAAATAGACACTAATACTACGCACAGTTCTTTTATAACTTACTGACAAAAGAGCTATGTATTCTCTAAAAGTTTATTTGTAGTATTTGATAAGAACTACCTCTTCGATGCAATACTTTATTTTATTTTTATAACTAAAATGAAAAAGTAAGCTATTATATTTGTTTGGGTTATGAACAAAGACTGGAGTGCATAATAATGAGCTGTCTAGTTTTCTTGTTCTCTGACTGTGACAAAAAATACTTTCATATAACAACTTGTAAAAGATGCTTTCCTAAACATTTTCTTCGATCCCAAAAAGCGTAAGTCTCATGACTATTCTTGAAGGCTTAAAGAAAATAAAAAATTATACCTTACTTGAACTCTATGATCTCAGGAAATGTTAATTAGCTGACATTTTTTTTGAATGCTTATAGGGTTTCAGGCACTATAGTAATGTTTTTACATATTTGTCCTACATGAATTGTATTAAGTAATTTACATTTATTACTCCTGTTTACACAAGTGAATCAAAATTTAAAGAGGACTGAACAGTTGATATTTATACTTCAGCAAAATATAAAATATTAAAGGTAGAAGTCAATATTTTATATAAGGATTATAAAGAGGCAGATTATTGCATACACATGATCTATTTACTTAGCAGCTATTTCCTAGAATGATAACTTAAAAAGTCTTGTAAAACCAATGAGAAATAGAAAACTATTAAAGATTTCTACTTCGTGTTAGAATTCTAGAATAAAAAATATTCTATGTAAAGCTAATCTCATGACTGTTAGTACTACTTACTGTGTCAGTACAGGCTTACTATTTTGAACAATTTACTGTGGCATCAAAATGAACTAGTTTCTAATATGCTCATACTATTTCTTATCACACTCTTATTTTCAATCTTTTTTGAGTGAGTTGGGTAGATAGATAAATTGTAATACAGGTATAGCCAAAGCCTTTCATTTTTACCTTCCTTTGTATAAATTTTCCCAGATGGTAAGTGCAGAGTAGAAGTCATTCTATATGGTCATGAGTTCGTCACTTTAGGCTACAATTCTATCATCTGTCCTTCCTCTAACTAGTGCTTATATTAACATGCCTTTGCTGGGGCCTAGAGAAAAAGCCTAGGGGCTTAAAGAAGCTGCTTTGCAAGCATAAGATCACAAATGCCAATGTCCCACATGCACTCAGTGCTATCCTGGAAGCTTCGCTATCTGCAGTCCTGGTGCCACAAGTGATCTCTGGCTAGAGCACAAAAGAAGGGTGGTGATTTCCCCAAGCACATAAATTATCCTGGGATCAACCCTTGGTGAGCACTAGAACTCCAACTTCTGTGTCCTGCTGGTTGAGCCTTTGCGGAAGCATCATAGATAAAGGAGAGCAAGACTCAAAGTACATGGCCATGGACAAGTGTCGGAATACCATAATCTGACTGCAAGCCCTGGCGGGCCCAGGCAGGCAGAGGTGCAGCCCCAAATCATACAACCACCAAATCATCAAGGAAAGGAAGAGGTGTGAAGGGAATACAGATTGATTTTTTTATCCAATTGAAAAATAAATCTACAATGTGAAAACAAGAACAAGAGAGTAGCTAGTTAATAAATACTAAGGGCTGGAAATATGCCAGATCTTGTTTCAATGGAGGTAAATATCAACTCCTAAAAACCTCACAATTCCAATTTGAGAACTGGAAAAACTCTTTACAGATGAGACCAACAAGGCACAGGGGATAAAATTATTTGCTCAAAGTTACACAGCTAATAATGTCAGATTCATTCCCTGCAAGTCTCACTTTGAAGTCTTTGTTCTTAAGATCTGTGCTGTAATGTAATCTCTGTAATTTCTCAGTTCTCAATTGGCTGTAGCAAAAAATAAACAGTAATTATCAAATATTAAATGTTCTTGGAGATATTTGAGAGTCTACAAATACAAAGTTTCTGTTTTGCTTTTCTGAAAATTCCTCTTTGGTTGATAGAGAAAGTATTTAGGAATCATTTGTTGCTAAAATGACTTGAAATAGAGAGTATCTGATGATTGACAGTGATATTATTATGAATAATATAAAACAGTATCTAATAACAATAATTATATATAAATTATGAAAATAATTCCAGTATTTTATGAGACTTTGTAAACTTATTTTGATATAATGGTTAAATAAGAATCAATTATAATGCAAAAGGAAATCAAAAGTAGGGAAAATGCTGTTGCATTTATAGTGACATTATGAAAATTCTGATCACTATTTAGAGAAACTTGTGGAACATAAATAGAGAGGAGAGAAAAATTAGAATTTCTAAGTTTGTCTTTGTGTCTGACTTCATTACGAAGTAGAATAATCTTCAAACTGAAAATCTGAATGAGGACCATTAAAGAGCATTAAATGGCAATACTTTTGGAAGCATTTGTTATATTTACAAAGTAATTTTCTTTATTTAAGAGTAGTATTAGTTCAGAACTTATTTCTAAAATATAGAAATGCCAAAGCTACTATTCTGAAATTATAAACTATGCTGATCAAAGAGATCTTTTTCCATAGGATAATTTCATACTTAGGCATAAGTGTATGCATAATTAACTCCACCCAAAGACTGGAAAACAATTAATAATGAATTAGTAGCACTCTGGAAGAAGCTCATGATGCCCCACAGCTCAAAACATCTGAGAATTTATTTATTTTTCCTCTCTGGGTAACAGCCCATGATGAGGAAATTAGATGAATTCAGCACGTTTGGTATAATTTAGGCCTCAAACTTGCCGTGGTAGCTTTCTAAGACACCGAACCATCATCTAGGCCTTCTGGGTTCCTTCTTCCTAGGCAGCCCTAATAGCAAGATTGTAAGAATTACTTCAATGTTTGCAGGTCGTACTAGGATTTAAGCTTGCAGCCTATGATGACAGGTGCCTTGTGTAACTAAGCCATCCTTCTGAAACCTTCGAGCTGGGGATCACACAGAGGAACTGTCCTAACCACCTCAATGCATGTGAGGCATCTGGGTTTGAACTCACGACTTTCTGATTTCCAGCAAGTACCCTCAGTCTTTGATACATGTTCTGGGCATTAATCTCAGAATTTAAGACAAACATTACACACCACTGGCAAATTTCTTGTTAACTCTAATGATATTTTAAAAGAAATGCATGGGATGGAGGAGGCTTCAACTGACCAGAGGATGGATTTTCATTGACCAACTCAGGATAGGAACTTAACATCTGTAAGCTAGTTTAAAAAAGATACGATGACTAGTTTGGGCTGCAGAATTCTTAGAACAACAATTATAAATGCCAAGCTTGTTGGCTAAGTCAGTTACCCAAATATAGCTGTCTTAGTAAGCACTTGCTTTAGGAAGCTCAAAATGGAATATTTGAAAGTGGATATCAATCACTCTAATTTAATTCCTGTTCTCATTACATCTTTTATTTAATGCCATTCAATGTCATTATATGCCTAGCCTTTAAACCATTTTATTTAAACAATTTATTTTTAATTTGTGGTAATTAGAATATTAAGTGTTCTTTTTTGGACAATATCTATTCACAAAGAACAATAAGGTTGTAGCTCCTTGAACTACTAAGTTCACTAACATAGTATTGGTGAAAGCAGGACAATTGTGTCATGTGAAGTCTGTGACTGACTAGTCTATGCATGTTCAAATTCCCTAACAGACAAAGGCATCTCTGATGTCTTTGGCACATGAAAAAATAAGCATTTATTGTGCATTGTTGTTAAATATATTGAAAATACAAAAGTGACACAATAAAGTTCATGTTGAAATAAGCGTTCTAAAACACCAAGCTTTTATTTAGTGTAATATAAACAGTTCATAAAAATTAAAGCTAATTCATCAAGAAGAGACTGGTCCCTGTGTAAAGCTCTACATGATGCCAGCGGAAAGTCTAAGAAATCACTGGGATATTCCAGCATTAATGACATTTTGGTGACTCAAAGCTTGAGGGCTCACACATTTCTAAAAAACAATGCTTAGTAACATTTAATGTTTCACTTTCCTTAATTCCATAGAATAAGTGATAAATAAGCCATAAAAAGTTTAATATGTTATCTGGGACAAATGGATAATATAAAATTTGCATAATCATACATTTGCATAATCCTTGAGATCAATGTACCTATATTGTCACAGATAAAACAAATGCCACATATTTTTCCAACACTGAAAATACTTGTTTTGGGGGCTGGAGTGATAGTACAGTGGGTAGGGTACTTGCCTTGCATGTTGCCAACCCAAGTTCGATTCCCAGCATCCCATATGGTCCCCCGAGCACCACCAGGAATAATTCCTGAGTGCGAAGCAAAGTCAGGAGTAACCCCTGTGCATCGCCAGGTGTAATCCAAAAAGCCAAAAAAAAAAAAAACCGCTTATTTTTAAAATATTTTCTTTCCTACTTCAAGCAGTTGAAAACTTTCAATGGTTTTCCCCACAGAAGAACACATTTTCATTGTATTATAACAGATAAAAACATTCCTGAGAATCCATGAAGTATAACAAGAGGATACATTTTATAAATCTTAATGTCTAAATATCTTATAATATCTAAATATCTTAATAATAAGAAAATAACTGATTTGATAAACGTTCCTTTTCTCTCTTTTCATGAATGCTGCATCTCCTTTCTCCCCCAATCCATTTCAGACACATTGTTTTGTTACTCTTAAGGATGGGAAACACCCAATAGAAACCCCACAGAAAGCATTATACCTACCTCATGATATTTTTTCGTAACTTTGCTTGGGACACATTGACATTCATTACAATTGTGGAGACAACAGGCACAATTTCCACCACAGCGTTTTACCAGGAGACAACCTGGCCAGAATATGGTATCGGTTCTTTTTAGTTCTTCCCGTATGGACACCGAGAAGTTCCGAGGTGTGCAGCTGTATAATCTCACCTCCTCTTTAAGTAGGTTCAGATCCAACCCTATGTGACATAAAAGAATAAAGAAAAACAGAGGTTCATGCTGTGACCCTGAAGGTATTTCACAAAACTCTTTTTTCACAAAGGAATCGAGCTAGTTCATGACCATTAACTTGCACAGATCTTACTTTAAGTAGGTTTTAGGGCCTATGCAGTTAGCAAGTGGGGCCTTCTATTTTACAGTGCACAAAGCTTCTTTATGACTTAGTGACCAATAAAGAGATGCCATTGTGTAATACGAAGAGAAGAGCCAACCAAACAGTGGAGAGATATAAATAGGAAACTTTAGAGAGAGAGAAAAAGAGGTTACACCTTTTAACCTTTGTAAAAGAGTAAACAAGGAGAGCATTGGAGGGAAGAATAGATGAATACTTTGACTAGAACTCAAATGCAATTTAAAAAATTCCCGTGAAGCTAAAGCAAAAGAACTTGCAGAAAGCTATCAACAGAACTTTCTGTAATCTTTCTGTAAAGAGGCATCATAACATAAAATTAATTTCTAAAGATAGCTCAATGGGCCATGAGAGGGAAAGATGATATATTTTAGAAGAGCAAGAGTTGTTCAAATGCAAAATTTTGCGGGCATGAATCACTTATGTTCTATAAAACTTAGAAGTAGAGTACATCAGCTTTCTCTCCATCATCTTCCAATGGGTGGAAGGACTGTTTAATTTATAGCCATTGTTCCTGTTATTTTAGAAAACTAGTAAATGACATTATGCCTTATTCTTTGAAAGACATCTACTTGTGATGCTCAAAGAAAATATTCTTTCATTAGACACTTGCAATAAATTCTCAAAGAACCACTAATTTTAAGTAGAAAATAGCACACTTCAGAAAACTATAAAAATAATAAATTACACTTACTCTAGGTGTATACACAATATACAATTAGTATTTTAGTATTATTTGGGTAAATACATTGAACATAATTTAAATTTTTGCTCTATAGTGCTGCCCTTTCCCCTAGAAATATTGAAAAAATACTTCCAATAAAATTAAAGAATAGTAGGGCTGGGAGATACTGCATAGGATAAGGTGTTTGCCTTGCATAATGCTAACCCTAGTTCAATATTTTACACTGTACACGACCCCCAGAGAACTCCTAGGACTGCCCTGAACATGGCTAGGTATGATCCCAAAACAAAGCAAACAACAAAAAATCTAGGTTCAGAGATCAGAGTCTAGAGCAGTGTTTCTTAATCTGGTCAGAGAGATGCACAATGTGTAAGGTGATTGCCTTGCATATGAGCAAACCAAGTTCAGTCTCTGGATCTGCAAAGGGTTCCTACAAGACGTCACTCTTATGCAGACAGCCAGAACAGTGCAGTGCTGTGTGGTCCCGATCATTTTGCAGCAGATAAAGTAAAAATAATAAAAAGAAGATATTGTATACCATACAACTAATTAGCAGTTAATTTTTTCAATATGGGTTTTACTAACATTTAGGAATATTCCCTAAACTATTGATAAAATCGCTGTATCACTGTCATCCCATTGTTCATCGATTTACTCAAGCAGGCACCAGTAACATCACCATTTGTCCCAGCCTTGAGATTTTAGCAAGAACCACAGTGCAGGCTCTTTCAGGGTCAGGGGAATGATTCCCAAACTACTGATAAAAATGGGATGAAATACATTTCACTAACATTATAAAGAAACTGGGGAAAAAAAACAATAGCAACTATTTTTTGGTTAAAAGGGCTTGGAGGGCTAGTGACGAAGTTCAGTGTAAGAGCATTTGTCTTACATGTGTAAGGTTTTGGGCTCAATTCAATTTGCTCTTCAAGCCTATATTTTCCCTTGAATATGTACTTTCACCTTTTCTCTCCCCTAACATTTTTCAAAGGAAGTTTCAATAAAACTGACTTGCTTCTTCAAAAAAAAAAAAAAGCAAAACAAACTCTCCCCAACACCAAAATTTCTTCAAATAATAATTATGCAATCCCGTTTTCCTATTTGTAACTGTTTTGGTTTTTTGGTTTGAGGGCCATATCCAACAGTGCTCAGGGAAGAATACTGGGGTTGTCAGGGAATCACATGCATTCTAAGCATCAAACCTGGGTCTGCCACTTGCAAAGCAAGTGTCTGGCCTGCTGTACTATCTCACAGCATTCCGATTAAAAAAATAAATGGTCAATTTTGGTTAAGTGATGAGGCAATTAAGCACTAACTCTCATTTTCTTGGCTATAATATTCTTATATTTGGAATAATTATTTGAAAATTGTATTTTTGCTATCAAAGGAAACCAATGTATTTTCAAGAAAAAATTAATTTATGCATATGAAATTGGAAATGATAAACAATGTAGTTGACCAAACATTAATCAAACACAGGGTGGCACCACTGAAATGCTAATTAAATGTTTTCAGGCTAATATCTTGCCATATTTTTTAACTAGATCTGATATAGTTCCCCATCATTTTTAAAAATTAGATCTGATATAGTTCCCCATCATCTAAACAAATAAATTGATCCTTTGAAAGTAAAAGTTTTTTTTTTATATTTTTTTGTATTAAAAAGAAAATAAATTCTTACTTTTGAGTGCTATAAAAGTCCAACTTATCTCCAATGATGCCATTCTGATAACTGGGTTAATAATAAATTATAATTTACTTACTTTCATTTTACTGAACTTATTATTATTATTACTTATTATTATTAAATACTACACACAGATATTGCTCCATTTTTGCTAAACTTATTCATGAATTTATCTGTAGCTTTCCTCTCCAAGTTAATATCTGGGCAAAAGGAGGGGTGAGAAAAAAAATCTAAACCGTGTACACGCATAAGAAAGCTGGTTGCCAAAATTTCCAGTGCTTATTTAAGATTTATACTTCTTCAGAATGTGAATGAAGCTCTTAACTTACAAAGGATATTCATCTACCTCAAATAGTTTTAAACACACTACTTTACGAAACTAGAAAATGAGATTGTATATGTTCATTTTAAAATGTTTACTTAACCACAATAAAAGGTTAGATAGATTTCCCAAGTGAACTAAGTTATGATACCTGCTACAATGTGAATTTTTAAACACACTTTCAACCTAGCTTCCACTCATTTATCATATTTGACACAAAAGTCAAAAGTCCTTTTTAACTAGTTAAGCCTGACTTAGAAAACAGGATATTTTTTTCTCCTTTCTATAGCAGGTATGAATGAAAATCTGAAGCAAAAAAAGAAAAGGGCAAGATCAGAAAAAAAGAAACAGAAAAATATTAGTGTGGTCTATATGGAGCTAAAAATACAATGAAGGACTTTAGTTTGACGTATCTTATTTGAAATTTATGTTTCCTATTTCTACTGGTTGATCTTAAATCATATAAGCATTGTGCAGAAATTATAGGCTTAAAAAAAGGAAGAAAAGGAAGAGAAAGAGCATGCACAGACACGTTATCTCAATTATAATTATATAAAAGCTTCCCGCTGCAAAATATTGTGAAGTAAAATATAGTCTTTATATTATTTACTTTCTCGCTTTGGTATAAGTACCTTCTAAAACAATGTAGTTAGCTTCTGAAAAAAAAAATGGTGATTTTGTAGCATGTGACCAGTGAAAGTTTAAGACAGACTTTCTTGTTCAGATTAACCAATATTACAAGCTTTACCCTCAAAGTGTAATATTTAAAGAAGCAAAAGAGTGAACAAAAAAATGATGGTCACATTTCACGTTTTCAGTTTTTCATTCTTAAGATAGTCGCAAGATATCTATTACTATAATGCATTCTCGGGGTGGTCTTTAGAAGATGAATGTGGTAACAACACTGTGATATGTTTACTTGGTGGAAAATGTATTTCAGTGTCTAATAAGAAGCTTTTAAACATTTTACTCCTAGTTCCTTTGTAAAAAGACTCTTGGGAAGGGAGTTGGTTTTTGTCTATATAGATGTTATCCCACACCTGCATCTTAGTTTATGTAAAGTTCCAAAAATATACACTGCTTTTCTCACACTTACTGTATGCTTAAAAAGTTAATAGTTTTGGCAAACTCTAAAGGGCTTCAATTTGGATAGTGCTAAATGAATATTTGAAAGATCGTCTTCAATGATGGATGCTTTTAAATGCATACTAGCCTCTAGTCAAATCTGGCTTGAGTACCAGGTAGATAAAGGCATAGCTACAGGGAAGATTCTTTTTTAGGCTGGAATCATTGTCAGCTATCTAAAAAACTATGGCTAAATTAGAACATGTTTAATCCATTGCTTCTGCTTAATAACAACCGACTTCATAATCAGACTTAAAGTTTGCTAACAAAGGCTCTATTCAGTGTTTGACTAACTCTGTGGATCTTCATTTTCCTGCTCCTGAGTGGGATGGGAGGGAAGGAAAGTGTTTCTGAGTTATTCATCAAGATCAAATCTTCTAACTATGGAAGAGCTTTCAGCATCTGGACAAGATTCGGCTGCAGAAGTACTTCAACATTGATTTCAAATGTTGCTGAAAGGAAACCAAGTCTGTTGGCATAGCAAAATATCTAGGTTGGCAAGTCTGGACAGGACCTGCTGAGATGAAAGCTCCTGAAAGCTGTAACTCTTAGCAGGAAAAGGGCAGGAATCGGGTTTCCTTCTGACAAGATTTAGAAGAAGGAGTTTAGTGCAATCTGCCTGTAAATATCACATTAACAAAATATTGCTCTTTCTATATAAAGTCTCCAGACTGCCATTCCATTCTCTAAAGTGTCCTTCGATAGACTACAACGGGTTTTGACAGACAGAAACAGACTCTTGAGTGCATAATTACAATTATCTAGTCAGTTCTATTACATTTTCATTGTGTCTCATATGGGTGCTTTCCAGTTCTAATATTACTAGGAAAATGAGTTACCTTTGTGCCAGTTTTTCATTTCTGACCATAAGAAATTAAGAAAACTTAATTGTGTCAGCAATTCCATTCTTTGCAGAAGATGTGCCCTTATAGTGCAAAGTGGTCATCTCAGAAGCAAATGTACATTTGAAAATATTTTCATAGTATGGGTTCCCTTTCACAGTATGGGTGGTTTTCATAGTATGGGCGATATTTGCTTTGGTTCCTCTCTTAGACAGTGTCAGTTTGATAGTAATGGAACCAAAGGTGAGTTCTGTTTTGTTTGCTTGTTTGTTTTGCTTTTTGGGTCACATCCAGCAATCCTCAGGGATTAATCAAGGTTTTGTACTCAGGAATTACTTCTGACCCTGCTGGGACCATATGGGATGCTGAGGATTGAACCCATCAGTAGCATGCAAGGCAAATGCCCACTTTGCTGTCCTATCACTCCAGTCTCTAAAGATTAGTTTTTTGTTTTTTTGGGGGGTCACACCCACCAAAGCACAGGTGTTACTCCTGGCTCTGCATTCAGGAATTACCCCTGGAGGTGCTCAGGGGACCATATGGGACTCTGGGAATCGAACCCGGGTCGGCTGCCTGTAAGGTAAATGCCCTACCTGCTGTGTTATCACTCCAGTCTCTAAAGATTAGGTTTTTTTTTTCTTTTTGGGTCACACCTGGCGATGCTCAGGAGTTACCCCTGGCTCTGCACTCAGGAATTACTCCTGGCAGTGCTCAGGGGACCATATGGGATGCTGGGATTAGAACCCGGGTTGGTCGCTGCAAGGCAAATGCCCTACCAGCTGTGCTATCGCTCCAGCCCCTAAAGATTAGTTTTTAATGGTTAATTTTAATAGTCATTTAATAGTTAATGTTAGTTTTAATGATCAGAAACGTTTTTAACCCTATGATTTGGAAAGAGACATAACTGTGACTCGGAGGGACACAGTAGTTAACAATTTGATGATCTTTACTAGTCCATTAGAAATCAAGTTAATCTCTTTTGATTCTCAAAATTGAGCTACCCCAAATCTTAAGTTTTAGCAAGGAATGACTCTCATGAAATGTAAAGGAATACTTCACCATAATGATATTTTTGAAGAACAGAAATAACAGGAATTTTCAGCTAAGCTTTCTCTTTAGTCATTCAAGACCACTAAGTGCCTCTCTTGTAGGTCATCTTATTTAATATATGCATTTGCTCAAATATTACAGAAATTGATTATTGAAATGTATTGCTGAAAAGTTTCATGTTCTACACATGAGAAGTGACAGCATAAGAATGGAAAACCTTAGCTGCTAGGAAAATTGATGAATTTCTAATCTGAAGGGAGACCTTACCTCTGGACTTTCTTCCAAATACAAAAGCTTTGCCAAGGAGTTGCCAAGTTGGCCTATATAGATCTTCTAAGTCCAACTGCCATCTGTCTGGTTCCAGGTACCGAATAAGATCTTCCAATGTACTAAAGGCAGTGACAGCATTATTCAGTAGATCCAGTGGCAAAGCAGATGGGGGTAACACTGAAGGACTCACAGCTTCTGTGAATTGCTGAAAGTAGAACGAAACTTTTGTTAATAGTTAAAAAATTATAAGATATTGTACTATTACACCTACTAAGGTACACAAACTGAAATGCATTCAATTCAGTCTAAGAGAGAAGTAATGAATTACTCCGCAAAGATTTAATACAAATAAATTTATGTTTTCTGAGTAGTTCCTAAGCAAGACAATGGGTTTTCATTAATCACACACTGTTGAATAACTGGATGGGAAACTGCTATCTAAATTTAAAAAAAAAGGAAAAGAGCAACGTCCCAATGGTTCAATCATACATATTTACAATGGAAATATAGTAGAGTTTTTAAAATTTTTCTTTTTGTCCATAATTCCATTTTATTTACAGTAGAAAAATATCTTTGTAGCTATGCAAATCAGTATAAAATACATTGAAATTTTACTATAAAATTAACTAATTCATAAAAATTTACAACAAAATAGTAGGTCAAAACTTTTGACAATATTTAACTTGTTAATCCAAATAAACACGCCCCTCACCGTAAAAGATGTTTGATTTTATCCATAAAATAAATATGCAGATGTATATTAAATAAACAGGGTCAAAAATGAGAAAAACACTAGAACTAGAACTTGGTAAATTAGAGTTCTAGAATTAGTGCCCAGAATATCACTGTCACTGTCCTCCTGTCATCGATTTGCTCTAGCGGGCCCAGTAACATTGTGAGACTTGTTACTGTGTTTGGCATATTGAATATGTCATGGGAGCTTGCTAGGCTTTGCCGTACGGGCGAGATACTCTCAGTAGCTAGCCGGGCTCTCTGAGAGGGGCGGAGGAATCAAACTCGGGTCGGCCGTGTCTGCCGCATGCAAGGCAAACGCCCTACCTGCTGTGCTATTGCTCCAACTCAGAATACACACACACACACACACACACACACACACACACTCACACATATATATATCACTCAAAAGAAAATGGCCAAAACTGATGAAATTATAGGCAAGTGGATTGCATCACTAATAAATAAAAACATATCTATATGTACATACTTCAAAATGTTACATTATTCAAAATAGAAGAGTGGTGATACTATTTGATAAATAGTATCTTTGGCAAGTATTTGAAAGAAAGGATTGCTGGGTTCAGAGAGATAATACATGGGCTAAGGTACTGGCCTTGAACCTGACCAAGCTTGGTTTGATCACTGGCAAACCAGCTTCCTGAGCACCACCAGATGTGATCCCTGAGCACAGAACCAGGAATAAGGCCCGAGCGCTGCTAGGTATAGCCCAGCAGTTTTCAGCCTCCAAGCTCAAAACAACACTAAGGTAAAGGTAAAGGTAAAGGCCCTTCCGTTGATCGTTGATTTGCTCGAGCGGCCCCAGTAACGTCTCCATTGGAGACTTTGTTGTTACTATGTTTGGCATATCGAATACTCTCGGTAGCTTGCCGGGCTCTCCGAAAAAAAAAAAAACAACACTAGCAATCTAAATAAACAGATAAATACATAAATAAAGGATTGCAAAGGATGTGAGGAAATTGGAATATCTCTTTCCACAGAAGGACGTGCTAATTTTTTATTGATATAATTTGTGTAAGGGTGTTAGACTTTAGGAAATAAATGTTCTCCTGTCCCAGTAATTCACTTTTTTAATTATACATATATGAAAATAGTTGCAATGCTATTAATCGCAGCATTGGTTAAAATGGGGAGACACTGAAAACTATGTAAATGCATCCATTACAGAGGTATGGATAAAATTCGTAGTTTAAAATGGCAAGATACTGAGCAAGATAACAATTTCAATAAAAATTTGCTAAGCTGGTGTCCCCAAAACTCTATTCTCATTATCATAGAGAGGGCATGCAAGTGGAGCTGGGAGAGAGAATAGTGAACCAAGCAGACAGTGGAGAATGATGTGGGGGTGGAGTGCTGTATGTGTGAAACCTGAAGATTAACAATAGTGTAAGAAATTGTGACTAAAATCGTATTATTTTTTGCTGAGGAACCCACCCCCTGTTTGAAGAGTAACTAAAGGTAGTACATTGAAGATCAGAATTCAAATTAAAATTGACAAAATAAATACAGAAACAAATGCTCAACGTTGCTTTAAAATGATTACTACTTTTCAGAGAAGAGCACTGCCTGTCCTGTCCTCCTGTTGTCCATCGATTTGCTCGAGGAGGCACCAGTAACGTCTCTATTCGTCTCAGTCCTGAGATCTCAGCAGACTCTCCTTACTCATCCTTCCAAACACTGCCGTATTGAAGGCTGTTTCAGGGTCAGATCTCTGACCCTGATCCCCTGATCATATGAAAACTCTAGATAAATACCTGGAATCATTTATCATTTGAAAGAAAAATCCAAATTCTTGGGATCCTCATAATCTCATTTTTCCTTTCCTTTCCAATCTAATCCTTTACTCATCAAAGATAGGTAGATTTTGTTTCAATCAATATAGTTTTTCACTAACTAGAGCACATGCCATAGTCATTTCACACTTCCTTTTCCTACCCATATTAAATGCAAACTCTCCCTGCGGTGATCCACATAATAAATCATAACCCGTAATAAAGTCCTTTCTCAAAACCCAATTTAACCATAAAACTTCCTCAGTAAGATTCCATTACTATCTTACATTTGTCAATTGTGTTCAATTGGAAAAATACTGTCTCTCTTTCTCTCTCTCTGGGCTGTCTTGTGGTCCCAAGCTTGGAAAACATTAGTTACTTTGTAAACGAGAGGGAAGACCTTGATTCTCTGCAGTTTCAGCCTCTGTTTAGACTCCAAGCATTAAGGGTGCAGAGTTTTCTTTGCCCACAGCATTCTTTATAGAGCATGTAGCACTGTAGCACTGTCCTCCCGTTTAGCAATTTGCTCCAGTGGGCCCAGTAATGTCTCCATTGTGACACTTGTCACTGTATTTTGCATATCAAATAGGTCACGGGTAGCTTCCAGGCTTTGCCACAAGGGCGAGATACTCTCTGTAGCTTGCCAGGCTCTCCAAGAGGGGCAGAGGAATCGAACCTCGGGTCAGAGCAGGGTCAGCCGTGTGCAAGGCAAACGCCCTACCTGCTGTGCTATATCCCTCCAGCCCTTATAGAGCATAATCAGCAAAAATCAATGTAACAACCTTTACTGAATGCTGACTTCATTATTGTATTAAGTATGCAATTTTGATAATGTCAAGACTTGACTATAATATTAACACTGTGATATTTTTAATTAGTCTGTAATATTTTGTTCTACCTGGTCCACCTTGCTGGAATCATTATGATTCATAATTGTGATGTAAATAAAATATCATCTAATCAAATTTAATCATTTCCTTAGCCAATTTGGTTAATACTGACTAAATATACTAGATAAAAAGGCTAATGCGGAAGTTAGCAGATTTTTGAAGTATAAAACAAAATTTATATGTACAGATAAGATGAAAACTATGGGTCAGTGCTACGCAAAGAATAACTGAATTACTGCTCATAACTAAATCATATAAAACAAATCAAATTTGTCATAATTTGCAGTGAGCAATTTTCTGGATTAGATTTAAAAAATTAGACAGTATTCATAAAACTGTCAGAATGTAGATGTATGTTTTTAAGTATTATAAAATTGTTCATTTCTTTTCAATCCAACCATAACACAAGAATAAGATGGCCTATTTTTTTTTTTACCAAATGTGACTGAAATTCACTGCATACAACGTTCTTTTTGAAGCCGTGCAAAGTTCATTTTCACCTGAAATCAATATTTCTGGGAAGAAGTCTAAAATATTTATACAAGAAAAAGCAGCAAACTAAAATAAACCTGTAACAGAGGACAAGCAAATTATGCACACCTGAGTTCAGTGAAATAAGATTATCCACTCCCTCAAAGGACAAAGGCTAGAAAAAACAGTTTGCTACATTATACATTCATTGGTTGACCTAATAAACCTTCAGCTTTTAAATAATACAACCAAGCAAGATCACTTAAAAAATGCAGCAGCCATTCAGCACCTCCTCCCCAAAAGGAGAAAGAATTAAGTCACTTCCTCTGGATTCAAAGAATCAGTTTCAGGACAGAACAGAGGAAGCAGTGCTTTCTTTTAAGAGCTTCCTCTTGAATGTCATCCACCCTCTGGCTCAAAAAAACAAGCAAGTCATTCACTCTCAAAGTCTTCCTTTTTAAGTTGACTTAGAGAGATTCTTAAAGAAAAGGAGTTGTAATAGTCAAGAAGACAAAGGAAAATAGCCCACTAATTTTTGAATTCTTATTTTTTCCCCTATTAATCAAAGTCCTTCAGTTTACAGCATAATGTCCTTTTCTTCCAAATTCAGTATCTACAAAATCCTAACAATATCTTTGCTATTGCAATGTAGCAATTGGAAAATAGAAAATTGGGGAAAAAAAGCTAAAAGTAGAAAACTAAATTGGATTTGTATACTCCCACTCATTTATAAAATGTCACCATATAAATAGATATTCACTATTAAATTATAGATTTATTTGATAATACTGGCATGAACAATATATGCTTATCATCAGGGTGAAAAGCAAAGTTTCTGTGTTCTCAAACAACTGAGTTAAAAAACAAACAAAAACCTTTTCATCAGTGTAGTAATAACAACATGACTAACTTCTAATACAAGCCCAAACCCTTTTAGGGAGTCTTAACAAGTTATTTTGAAAGTATAGGTATAAGCTTAAGAAGGATTTAAAAATCTATCTGATGAGTCCTGTCAATGCATTTCTAAAGTGTGTATGGCATATGCTTAATGTGTCTATCAGCTGTGAGGTATCTTAAATGTGGTGACGAAAGTCCCTCTGAATGCCACCATCATCTGAGAGAAGAACTGTGAGCCTCGGTTCAAATTTCGGACTTGCTCCCATTTGGGTAAAGACCCTGTGAGTCTTAGTTTCCCCTTCTGTATAGGTTGACTACTAGATTCAGTGACCTTTATGATTCTTTCCAATTTCACAATTAGGGATTATGTGTAACTGGATTCTGAAGAATCATCTCCTTCACCTTCTCACCAACACATG